ATATATATATATATATATATATATATTATATATACAGTGGAACCTCAAAATAAAACTTTCTTCGGTCCAGAAGGCTGTTCAAGTGTCGCTACCGAACGAATTTATTCCCATCAGGAATAATGTATAATTGGATTAGTCCATTTCAGACCCTCAAAAATACACTTATAAAACACTTACAAAAATACACTTACATAGTTGGTTGGTTGGGAGCAGTTCGATTTTTGAGATCTACAGTATATATTATATATATATAATATATATATATATATATATATATATATTATATATATATATTTTATATATGTATTATTGTCTTTAAATAAAATATATATATATAATATAGGGGGTGGTAGGAGAAAATTCTCAAACAGCTTCAGGGAGAATCTTGAGTTTTCCCTGAAGCAAGTTTATTCTTTTCTCTGAGGATGAGGGTCCCTACAACAGTTCTAGAGGTGGTTTATATATATATATATATATATATATATATATATATTTATATATATTATATATATTTATATTATATATATATTATATATATATATATATATATATTAAATCTGGAGTATCTGAGAGAGTTAGAGCAAAGGAAGGGGTAGCAGTAATGTTGAATGATCAGTTATGGAAGGAGAAAAGAGAATATGAATGTGTAAATGCAAGAATTATGTGGATTAAAGTAAAGGTTGGATGCGAGAAGTGGGTCATAATAAGCGGTGTATGCACCTGGAGAAGAGAGGAATGCAGAGGAGAGAGATTTTGGGAGATGTTAAGTGAATGTATAGGAGCCTTTGAACCAAGTGAGAGAGTAATTGTGGTAGGGGACCTGAATGCTAAAGTAGGAGAAACTTTTAGAGAGGGTGTGGTAGGTAAGTTTGGGGTGCCAGGTGTAAATGATAATGGGAGCCCTTTGATTGAACTTTGTATAGAAAGGGGTTTAGTTATAGGTAATACATATTTTAAGAAAAGGAGGATAAATAAGTATGCAAGATATGATGTAGGGCGAAATGACAGTAATTTGTTGGATTATGTATTGGTAGATAAAAGACTGTTGAGTAGACTTCAGGATGTACATGTTTATAGAGGGGCCACAGATATATCAGATCACTTTCTAGTTGTAGCTACACTGAGAGTAAAAGGTAGATGGGATACAAGGAGAATAGAAGCATCAGGGAAGAAAGAGGTGAAGGTTTATAAACTAAAAGAAGAGGCAGTTAGGGAAAAGATATAAACAGCTATTGGAGGATAGATGGGCTAATGAGAGCATAGGCAATGGGGTCGAAGAGGTATGGGGTAGGTTTAAAAATGTAGTGTTAGAGTGTTCAGCAGAAGTTTGTGGTTACAGGAAAGTGGGTGCGGGAGGGAAGAGGAGCGATTGGTGGAATGATGATGTGAAGAGAGTAGTAAGGGAGAAAAAGTTAGCATATGAGAAGTTTTTACAAAGTAGAAGTGATGCAAGGAGGGAAGAGTATATGGAGAAAAAGAGAGAGGTTAAGAGAGTGGTGAAGCAATGTAAAAAGAGAGCAAATGAGAGAGTGGGTGAGATGTTATCAACAAATTTTGTTGAAAATAAGAAAAAGTTTTGGAGTGAGATTAACAAGTTAAGGAAGCCTAGAGAACAAATGGATTTGTCAGTTAAAAATAGGACAGGAGAGTTATTAAATGGAGAGTTAGAGGTATTGGGAAGATGGAGGGAATATTTTGAGGAATTGTTAAATGTTGATGAAGATAGGGAAGCTGTGATTTCGTGTATAGGACAAGGAGGAATAACATCTTGTAGGAGTGAGGAAGAGCCAGTTGTGAGTGTGGGGGAAGTTCGTGAGGCAGTAGGTAAAATGAAAGGGGGTAAAGGCAGCCGGGATTGATGGGATAAAGATAGAAATGTTAAAAGCAGGTGGGATATAGTTTTTGGAGTGGTTGGTGCAATTATTTAATAAATGTATGGAAGAGGGTAAGGTACCTAGGGATTGGCAGAGAGCATGCATAGTTCCTTTGTATAAAGGCAAAGGGGACAAAAGAGAGTGCAAAAATTATAGGGGGATAAGTCTGTTGAGTATACCTGGTAAAGTGTATGGTAGAGTTATTATTGAAAGAATTAAGAGTAAGACGGAGAATAGGATAGCAGATGAACAAGGAGGCTTTAGGAAAGGTAGGGGGTGTGTGGACCAGGTGTTTACAGTGAAACATATAAGTGAACAGTATTTAGATAAGGCTAAAGAGGTCTTTGTGGCATTTATGGATTTGGAAAAGGCGTATGACAGGGTGGATAGGGGGGCAATGTGGCAGATGTTGCAGGTGTATGGTGTAGGAGGTAGGTTACTGAAAGCAGTGAAGAGTTTTTACGAGGATAGTGAGGCTCAAGTTAGAGTACATAGGAGAGAAATTATTTCCCAGTAAAAGTAGGCCTTAGACAAGGATGTGTGATGTCACCGTGGTTGTTTAATATATTTATAGATGGGGTTGTAAGAGAAGTAAATGCGAGGGTTTTGACAAGAGGCGTGGAGTTAAAAGATAAAGAATCACACATAAAGTGAGAGTTGTCACAGTTGCTCTTTGCTGATGACACTGTGCTCTTGGGAGATTCTGAAGAGAAGTTGCAGAGATTGGTGGATGAATTTGGTAGGGTGTGCAAAAGAAGAAAATTAAAAGTGAATACAGGAAAGAGTAAGGTTATGAGGATAACAAAAAGATTAGGTGATGAAAGATTGGATATCAGATTGGAGGGAGAGAGTATGGAGGAGGTGAATGTATTCAGATATTTGGGAGTGGAGTGTCAGCGGATGGGTCTATGAGGATGAGGTGAATCATAGAACTGATGAGGGGAAAAGGGTGGAGTGGTGCACTTAGGAGTCTGTGGAGACAAAGAACTTTGTCCTTGGAGGCAAAGAGGGGAATGTATGAGAGTATAGTTTTACCAACACTCTTATATGGGTGTGAAGCATGGGTGATGAATGTTGCAGCGAGGAGAAGGCTGGAGGCAGTGGAGATGTCATGTCTGAGGGCAATGTGTGGTGTGAATATTATGCAGAGAATTCGTAGTTTGGAAGTTAGGAGGAGGTGCGGGATTACCAAAAACTGTTGTCAGAGGGCTGAGGAAGGGTTGTTGAGGTGGTTCGGACATGTAGAGAGAATGGAGCGAAACAAAAATGACTTCAAGAGTGTATCAGTCTGTAGTGGAAGGAAGGCGGGTGGGGGTCGGCCTAGGAAAGGTTGGAGGGAGGGGGTAAAGGAGGTTTTGTGTGCGAGGGGCTTGGACTTTCAGCAGGCGTGCGTGAGCGTGTTTGATAGGAGTGAATGGAGACGAATGGTTTTTAATACTTGACGTGCTGTTGGAGTGTGAGCAAAGTAACATTTATGAAAGGGTTCAGGGAAACCGGCAGGCCGGACTTGAGTCCTGGAGATGGGAAGTACAGTGCCTGCACTCTGAAGGAGGGGTGTCAATGTTGCAGTTTAAATACTGTAGTGTAAAGCACCCTTCTGGCAAGACAGTGATGGAGTGAATGATGGTGAAAGTTTTTCTTTTTCGGGCCACCCTGCCTTGGTGGGAATCGGCCAGTGTGATAATAATATATATATATATATCCTGTAGATCTAAAGGCTATCTGTTGCAAGTCGATCACTATGGCTACAATTTTCCTTGGGACAATGACAGCTAGAATACCTTAATCTCTACAATATGGATTAAAGTAAGCTCTCTTACGTATACATACACAGATACACGCTTTTTATTATATTTTATTCAATTACTATCGTAATGTTTTTCAGTGCAACAGCCGTTTTTTCATATTAACATAACATTTTTGTCTAGAATGTGACAGAAGAGTCGACTGCCACGCAGGTACCTATTTTTATTGCTACGCGACTTAGGGATGTACGGAAATTTGCTCATACATTTCGAAGAATGAGGAATGAAATCCAGGAGCTTTCGGTTTTGAGTTGTACAATCTGTCTAGTGCGTTACGGGCAACAGAGGAGAGCGGAGAGGATTATCATTAAAAACAGCTTGCGTGATTCCTTACATTACGTAGCTGAGCTTCGTGTCAAAAAGAAATAAACTGAGTTTCTCTAATTATTCTAAGAGCCGTAGAACATAAGCCGTTGTTTAAATATACAAATATTAGCGTCATGAGGAGCATAATACCACAATAGTCAAACTCAAGAGCTCATATTACTCCTGGAAGACATGCTCAATGTTAGCAGATTTTTTTAATTTAGTTAATGCCATTAAATATTCAGCAATATACGAATACAAATTTTAATTAAATACCCAGCAATATACGAATACAAATTTTATAAAATACTGACACGATGGAAAAAAGACGCTAATGCAGTATAACGCGACACTTTATTGACTACGTTTGTGGCTTGATAAAGCTCAATGTGTGGGCGAAACGTAGTCAATAAAGGATCGCATTATACTGCATTTGTGTCTATTTTTCCAATACACGTATACGTTTTAACCAAAATATCTGTGACAACTGACCGGATTTGAGGATTGCTCTACCCTCCCGTTAACAGACTGGTCATCCAGGCTATTGATGCTAGCGGCCAGCGGTGCCACATAGCCATCACAACCCAGCTGATTCGACACTTGCAGAAGATAAATGTTTGTTTCGTCCTGAAATTTTCGACCTTTGTTTCGGCAATGTTTCTGATATATATTAGTGACTTAACTAAATAGTCTGAACCCACGGACATTAATACAGTGAATACTTGTATACCAACAGGACTGGAATTTCGTTACACAACATTCTGGCTAGGATATGATTTCAAGCAAGAATTTTCCGTGTGACCTACAACAGTAGACTATATATAAACTACAACCATCTTAAACCTACACTTGTCAATAATATTAGGCCGATAAACAGGATAGAAGTGACAGGATCACCAAGAGTCTGACTCGTCAAAGATTGAGCCTCCACCACTTTGAAATAAATGACCCACACGGGTTTAGCTCTACACGATATACAGTGCATGTGATAGCAAAATTGGTTATGAGTGCCTACCTGCTCTGCTGGGATCAGTACTGGTGGCATTGGTGTTGATGGGTCGACCATGGATGCAGGTGTTGAGTCGTGGGGGCGGGGGCGGGGGAGGTCTGCAGGGAACGGCCGGTGGGTTAGTCTCCTCATCACACACACCCCCTCCGTCTGTGCTACCCCCCGGCCCGATGGGCATTCCGTGTTTATTATCTATATTCCTTACCCATGCTTCTTCACGCCTCGTTTCTCTCTACAACCTAAAGAAAGACATGAGTGTTTAGTATCTATATTCCTTGCTCATGCTTCTTCACATCTCACTTCTCTCTACAGTATTATTACATACAAGGGAAAGCGCTAAACCAGTAAAGGTCAGACAGCTCCTGGGGAAATTGGAGGGAATCAGGTTCGATCCAAGGAAGGGTAGGTCAGGCTCATTTCCTTGGATCAAAGTCCCCCTTACCAGAATCAATGAACCTCCTTAAAGGATTTCTCTCTACAACCTGAAGAAAAATGTTTATTATCTATAGTTCTTATCTGCTCCTGCTTGCAACCTACTCACCCATTCTTCCTCATAACTCTTTCACGGGGAAGTACTAAACCCGTAGAGGGGTTGATCATACAGCGCCTGGTGGAATGTAGGAGGTCGGTAATCAAGTTCGCCTCGAGGAAGGTGGGGACAGCTCCAATTCCATAGATTGAGTACGTCATCAGCATTAAGAGACATCCCCCATCTTGAAGAGGCTAATATTAAAGTTACTCGATGAACAAGGAGCAAATACTTTTTAATGCATAAAATAACTCTCGGTAAATTAATCTGAGATATACCTTTTAGAAAATTATACTACTGAAGTTTGTTATTATTATTATCTTCATCATCAATTAAGATTCACAAATAGAGTATTGAGCCTTCAGTTTAAATCTTACCCGCTAATGTTTCTTGACCAGATCGAGTGAGATCTTAACGACCAGGTCAAGGGTCGCTTTAAACACCAGATGGCGCGTGTGCTTAACCACCAGGTCGGGCGCAGTCTTAATGACCAGGAATGGTCTTAACCAGATCGGGCGTGATCTTAATGACCAGGCTAAACGTGGTCTTAATGACGAGGTTGGGTGTGGTCTTAACCACCAGGTTTGTCGTGGCCTTAACTACCAGGTCGGTCGTGGCCTTAACCACCAGGTAGGTCGCGGCCTTAACCACCGCGTCGGGCGTGGTCTTAACCAAGGCAGTGGTGTACCTCAAGGATACCTGGTTTTTCCACCCCTTTTTTCCTTGTTTCCGGAACCTCTGTAGTTATACACTATGAACTGTTGCATTTCGTGAAGCGCAAAGCCCGCGTGGGTAATTCACTGAAAGTAATCAAAGCTCGATCAATCTGGATGTTTGGTGGTCGCTCCTGTACAATATGGAGAAAAACAGACTGCAAAATCTCTTTAAAGTGGGACGGTGGGGGTCTTGATGCTAGTGAAGGAATCTTGAATCAAGAAATTACAACTGACCCCTTCCTTGGATTATACCTGATTACCTCCCATAACAACTACAGGCTTAGCGCTTCCAAACGAATCGCACTCGACGTTTTTTACGTGTAGGGCTTAACGGCTAACAATGTATGGTTGTCTCTAGGTCAAGATACCCTACAACTGTCATATGTACAAGGGTATATACACTGAGAGGTGTGTATCATTATATACACTTAGGAATGTACGTATATATATATATATATATATATATATATAATATATATATATATATATATATATATATATATATATTATATATATATATATATATATATTATAATATATATATATATATATAATATATATATATATATATATATATATATATATATATATTTATGGAGGCAGTGGAGATGTCATGTCTGAGGGCAATGTGTGGTGTGAATATAATGCAGAGAATTCGTAGTTTGGAAGTTAGGAGGTGCGGGATTACCAAAACTGTTGTCCAGAGGGCTGAGGAAGGGTTGTTGAGGTGGTTCGGACATGTAGAGAGAATGGAGCGAAACAGAATGACTTCAAGAGTGTATCAGTCTGTGGTGGAAGGAAGGCGGGTAGGGGTCGGCCTAGGAAAGGTTGGAGGGAGGGGGTAAAGGGGTTTTGTGTGCGAGGGGCTTGGACTTCCAGCAGGCATGCGTGAGCGTGTTTGATAGGAGTGAATGGAGACAAATGGTTTTTAATACTTGACGTGCTGTTGGAGTGTGAGCAAAGTAACATTTATGAAGGGATTCAGGGAAACCGGCAGGCCGGACTTGAGTCCTGGAGATGGGAAGTACAGTGCCTGCACTCTGAAGGAGGGGTGTTAATGTTGCAGTTTAAAAACTGTAGTGTAAAGCACCCTTCTGGCAAGACAGTGATGGAGTGAATGATGGTGAAAGTTTTTCTTTTTCGGGCCACCCTGCCTTGGTGGGAATCGGCCAGTGTGTTAATAAAATATATTAATATATAATATATATGTGTGTGTGTGTGTGTGTGTGTGTATACTGAGACGCGTATATACGTATACACGCAGAGTTTACTAGAGTCCCTATTTTAAGGATTAAAGCATTTTTGGTGCTGTACAGGTGATATGCAGCTGTAATGACCCTTGTGATAGGATTTTAAACCTAATGAACCAACCATCCACTTAGCCAGCTTCCTAGCTCAGGAAAAATAAAGGACTCAAACAAGCTTTGATCTAGCCGAGTGCTGAATGTTGTTGTTTTTATTTTGTTTTCGTTGTTTTTAAGTTTATTTTACTGCTTTATTATTATTATTATTCGAAACTCGCCTGGAGAATGAGAAGGAATTAGGCTAGCTCTATGGAGAGGGTCCCTTGAATACCTCAGATCACGAGCCATCAAAATGGTATAGCGTACAGAGTGTGAAGGATGATTGCCAATAAGCCGAGGGATGACATTCCTCGATGAAGGCGAAAGTTCCATTCAACAGAGAACACCAAACAATCGGAGGCCCGCTGTCTGGGGTGACTCAAGGAGTCACACCTGTAGTATGGGGCGATTCAAAGAGTTACACCCCACTATCTGTAGTGACAGAGTCACACCTGTAGTCTGTAGTGATTCAATCACACCCGCAATCTGAGGTGACTCGCATTCCTGATTAAACACCTGCCGTCCAGAGGTGCCTCAAGGATGTCTGATAACAGCGACTTGCTGTCTGCGTGGAGGGTGACTCAGACAGGGGACTCGAGGATTCGTTGCCAAATACTACCGTCTAGGGAGCTCTGAAGACTTTTTGACGCCAAAAACCTGCTGTCTAGCTGGACAAATGGAATTGAATGCAAGCCCCGTATAACACAGGTCAGACCTACTGCGGTGCTCCTCTATTTCCTTTTATGCCAGGCTGTTTGAAATTCGGATAAAGAGACTGATTGAAGTTAGATGTTTGAGATTAGTATTTTAAGACATGGTGATGATAGTTAGGTGTTGTGGTCACTGAATCAGGCGTTGTGCTCCCTGGGATGAAAGTGTTTTAACAGTCACTGGAGTGAATTCTTTTTTTATGTGTCCCTAACTTATTTTTGTGAGGCTGGGTACTGATAAATATTTTTTTTTAATTCAGATTTGGCAATAGCACCTGGTTTTCCATAGCCCTTTTGATAGGGTAAAGTCTGTTCCAGATTCAATCAATGCTGACTCGATTGTTTTCCATTTGAATTGGCAAATGGTTTTGTGCGATATTTGCTTCTTTCTGATTTATAGTTTGGTTGTGATTTTATGCTAGAACTGGGCTGAACTTTACTGTACGTACCTTACTGACTTCTTTATATCTACTACCCGCTTTTCCAGATTGCCTGTGAAGTCACTAGTGTTGAAAGAAACTTGTTAACCACTAGTGTTTCAAGCGTTTTTTTATTATTTTTTTGGAAACACTTTTTTTTTTATTTTTAAGATAAATCATTTTGTGCACACCCAACTGTTTGAACTGGCTGTTATTTTTCTTTTCCTACTTGAATTTACTCAGGCTTCATATTCCTGAGGTTCTAAACAAAAGTGAAACCATGGTGATTGACGTAATGAATGCAGTTTGACTCGTGAGTTGGTTTCTTGTAAACTGTAAATTAAATTCCAACTTTGGATCTTAATAACCTGGAGTCTACCTACCTGGAGGGTATTCCGGGAATCAACGCCCCCGCGGCCCAGTCCACGACCAGACCTCATAGTGGATCAGGGCCTGATCAACCAGGCTGTTACTGCTGGCCGCACGTAGTCCAACATACGAACCACAACCCGGCTGATCCGGCACCGACTTCAAATATCTGTCCAGCTCCCTCTTGAAGGCAGCCAGGGGTCTATTGGTAATTCCCCTTATGCATGGTGGGAGGCTGTTGAACAGTCTTGGGCCCAGGACACTTACTGTATTTTCTCTAAGTGTGCTTATGGCGCCCCTACTTTTTATTGGGGGTATTTTGCACCACCTGCCCAGTCTTTTGCTTTCGTAGAGAGTGATTTGTGTCCAGACTAGAGACCATTCCTTCTAGGATTTTCCAGGTGTAGATTATGATATATCTCTCTCGCCTGCGTTCCAGAGTACAACTCAAGTGATTCCAAGCGTTCCCAGTAGTTAAGGTGTTTGACGGAACTTATATGTGCAGTAACGGTTCTTTGTACATTCTCTAGATCTGTAATTTCACCTACTTTGAATGGAGATGTTAATGTACAGCAGTATTTCAGCCTACAGAGAACAAGTTATTTAAAAAGTCATCACTGGCTTGGCATCTCTTAGTTTTGAACGTTCTCACTATCCATCCTATCATTTTCTTCGCAGTTGTCATCGTGGCATTGTTGTGATCAAGTGCATCTGCTAAAGGAAGTTGATTATTAACTTCCCATTCTAATCTAAGGTTTACAGATGGCACTAGGTGGTGGACTAGTGTGTAGAAAGTATCGAAATTCCCTGGTAGTCATCTCAGCAAGTGAAAAATATCTTCCACATACCTGTACAAGATCATATTAGCGAGTTTGATGGTGAGTAATATTCGAGTTTCAAATTACTGTTATATAAACTGAAGAGAAGTGGAGAAAGTGGGCTTTTTATGCTGCAAACGTTTTTGTTTATAAAATTCATTGCTGAATGAAAACATTAGTCGTTACACACAGCGCAGCGAGAGCGATGATCTTGGCGATGAAGACAGGGAATTGTAACCTATCATGTTACTTGTCATGTTAAAAATTGCCTGCCATAATACATTAAAATTAACAACAGTCTTCGCAAAGATCATTTTTTTAATGTTTTAGCTTTAAAAAGATACAGCTTGCCAGATGATGCTCACGTCGCTTGGATAAGTACACAGGGGATGTCTGGCCACTATATGGATTCAAAGTTTATTCTCTATAAGGATTACAATGCTGAGTTTACAGAAATTTGGTTATTGTTTGGTTTACATGTAGTAAAATTGTGATTACAGAGTGTACCACTAGAACGCTTAGCATGGCTAGGCATTTCGGGCATACTTAGTTTTATTCTTAATTGTAAAATATTACAAATTATGAGGTAAGTTGGTATTATGGCTAAGTGACTAAATACTAGTTTGTGAGTTTAGCAATGTGAATGCTTTTGTTTTGGCACAGTACATAGTTTCAGTATTGGAGTATCACAGGATTCATTATTTTAAGACTGAGATTAATATTTCCGTTTATGGTCAAATGAGTGAGTGAGTGTAAGTGTGAACCACCAGGTGGTATTCGTGTAGTTAGTTGACGGGGTGTATCAGGGAGATAAGATGTTTTCTAATGGTAGTTTTGAAGGTGATGAATGTGTCTGCAGTTCTAGAGTTCTCAGGTAGGGTATTCCAGATTTTAGGGCCTTTGACATACATTGAATTTTTGTAAAGGTTTAGTCGGACACGGGGAATGTCGTAGAGATGTTTGTGTCTGGTGTTATGCCTGTGGGTTCTGTCACAACTATCAAGAAAGCGTTTTAGGTCAAGGTTGATATTAGAGTTTAAGGCCCTGTAGATATAGATTGCACAGTAGTAAGTGTGGATGTACTGAACTGGGAGCAAGTTTAGATCTATGAAGAGTGGGGGGGGTGTGTTGCCAGGGATGGGATTTATTGATTATTCTTACTGCAGCTTTTTGTTGGGTTATTATTGGCTTTAGGTGTGTTGCTGCAGTTGATCCCCAAGCACAAATAGCATAGGTGAGGTATGGATAAATAAGTGAGTGGTATAGTGTGAGAAGGGCATTTTGCGGCACGTAGTATCGTATCTTGGAGAGGATCCCAACCGTTTTGGATACATTTTTGGCTATATGCTGGATATGGGTGCTGAAATTCAGGTTGTTGTCAAGGTATAAGCCTAGGAATTTTCCATTATTTCTGGTAATTAGAGTGTTGTCAATCTTAATGTTAATTTGTGCATCTCCTGCTCTGCTACCAAACATAATATAGTAGGTTTTGTCAGTGTTAAGCGTAAGTTTATTGGCTGTCATCCAAGTCGATATTTTAATCAGCTCCTCATTCACAATGGTGTTGAGGGTGGCAAGATTAGGGTGAGAGATGACATAAGTCGTGTCATCAGCAAAGAGAATGGGTTTCAGGTGTTGGGATACGTTTGGATGGTTGAATACATCGTTTTTTGGTAGAGATTTGATAGGCTATGGGCTTCCTGTCTCTAATACCAAAAGGAGTTTTGAAGTCAAATTTGTACTTTGTGTTTATTGACAACGAGCGTCAGCTCCTGGCCCTTGTCTTTCAACTTTCAAGTGGTATAGGTTGGTTGGATTTTTCAGGATTAATATACAGATGTATGAGCAATGATAAATACTGATCATAATTATTATTTTATTATTATTGCATTAAAAATAGGAGCTTAACGTTATATTCGGATTAGCCTTGGTTGGTTAGTGTGTGAGGTTTAAAGTCTATTGACTGCACGAGGATCATTAGTTAAGATTGCATTTCACCTGTACATCAGCAAAGTTACGTTAATACTTTTTTTAGTGATAAAAGTAAATTCTCAGTTTATATACATTGTGAGATATATACATCTTGGCGTATACACCAGTGTTTAGCTAATATTAAGTATAAAATACCGACACGATGAAAGACCTTTAATGACGTTTCGCGTAATCCATGGGAGTTGTCATTAAAGAATGGCATTATACTGCATGTCTCTTTTTGACTAGTGTAGCCTTGGAAGTGCTAGGTTTGTAATGTGTGCAAGCTCCCACACTTCCTTTAGTTCGTGGTTCCCACTCCCCGCAACATAACCATTATATATTCTTCTTCTTCTTCTTCTTCTTATTATTATTATTATTATTATTATTATTATTATTATTATATTACAACATTTAGGGAAAGGGAGGTCTGAAATAAAGACGTGAAGAGAAAGACAAATTATTGCATTCTTATTTTTTTTTTTGAACGAGAAGGAAAGCAATTAAAAGGGTTGAACAAAATACGTTCCAAATAAATAATGTTGTATCTAACATTATTTATTGGCCTTTTAAATAAATTCCTACACTGCAAAAACTAGAAATAACTTGCATATATATAAAAATTGTACCAACGCTTACCTGCCCACTCCTGTTTGCCGTTTTTCACGTTTACTCTATACTTTAAGTTCTGCCCTCCATGGCACTAGTGTCATCTAAGGCACTTTAACACTGACGTATGTGTTATACACACGTATAATTCCCTGGTGTCTCATGATTGTGTCTGAGAGCACCACCACACCTCATCACCTGTCGTAGCTTGACACTCGCACTCTATCAGCTCATCAGCTGCTATAAATCACATCACCACCTGCTCTGAGGACACACAAGACGGCTGTCACATTATAATTCACCAGAGGACACTTAATTGAGGCACACCGGGCACTGGATATTAATGTGTAGAGGAGTGGGGACTGCGGTGTGAGGGAGGTAGTGGACCGCTCCTGCACGACTTGTACCTTGCAGCCACTCACACCTGTTGGCGGACGTACGAGCGACCACCAAAACAAAACCCTTTTACTCTCTTATAACTCGTGTATACTTCATCGGATGATCAGGTCCTCTTCCTCTGTGAGCATGACGACTTTATGTACTTGTTATCTCACAATATTTCTTGTTGGAGATAGAGTAATGAGAGGCATTCAAATGGTCCTCATCCAACGTTGGAGACGTGACTGGACTAGACGAACTTCTGCCACGCGCCCTGTATGATGTTTTACTTTCTGGCCAGAAAAAACACCCCCATAAAAAGCTCAATCAGTTTTGCGATGAATTGTATGAATATTACAAAACTTCTGTGAGAATACTCATCTTGGATTGTCTTTCACACGAATGGTATTTATTTGTTTTAAGTGATAGAGCAGGTGAGTGGCTGGACCTTGGGAACTCAAGATATTCCCTGGGGCTCCAACTTCCCAGTGGACTTAGCAAGTGTGACCATTTGGTACGTTTTTATTTTGGTTCAACTCGGGCTTACACCAAGTGACACTACTCGTCCACTTTTCCACAAATAGGACATGCATACCGAACGTCTCTTCACATAGTGTAAACCTATAAAATATAGGATCCTGTTTTAAATTGTTTAGTAAAGGCTAAGTACGTTTGTGTCTCTAAGTTGGCTTTGGCGGCACCCACCAATTTGTTAACGTTGCCTCTGGAACCAACCCAGGTGAAGATTACTGATTTTATTGACTTTTGATCTTTAAAGGAAAATAGGCCTTGTAGCAAATTACACAATGGTCCCATAAAACAAAAATGCAATACTATGCAATTTAAAGCTTGGTGAGACCACTAGATATGCAATGATTCCTGGGCTGCAAGTGATTAAGTAGACAACGAGCAGTGGGAGCTTGACGCTGCCAAGAAGAAAACGAACTTTATAAAAAAAAAAATTGGCGATTTAGCAGACAGTGCATCTCACGGTAATACTGGAATGTAAACAAAGGTGGCGCAACTCAGGAAACGGGCTGGACTCGAATCCATGGCAAGCCAGTCCTAGTGGTTAGAACACTGGCTTACTAATTTTAAGTCTAGCATGCCGTGGGCATGCTAATTGACCAGTTTTACAAATTCGGCACGACACACACACCACACACACACATATATATAAAATATATAATATATAATATTATTATATATATATATATATATATTAATATATATATATATATATATATATATATAATATATATATATATTTTAAATACTGAAAGTTTAATCACTTTTATAGGTATTAAAATATTCGCGACTGATGATGAACGTCGTGTAGTTGATAGGCTTTAAACCTCATTAATCAACCAACCGAGTAAGTGAGAGGGCCCAAGAAATGCGTCAGTTCAGAGAATCTTGTGGTATTAGATAATTGGCGAAGTAATTACCTGGCTGCTGCTGGAAGCGGCAGAATTCATTTTGAGCCTCGACATGACACGTCTCGCCGGAAACGGCTCTCATCAAATTATCTCTTAAAATTCTGAGTGTCTCGTTTTATGTTCCTCCATTTTAAAATTCGCAGGTTCCTATTTTTATTCTTCCCTTGTTTTCCACAATTAGAAATATGTCAGTCATTTCATTTTAATGTATCCACCATTGTGTCTGTTTTCCAACTGACGTGTTGGTTTGTTAATAGGATACTAGTCGGTAACAAAGCCCTCAATACGTTAAGAACTCAACACTGTACGTATGTGTGTCGAAAGTCATTAATATCAACACTCAGCATTATTCAGTAAAGTCATGAACAGATGAACAGGGTATGTAGTTAAACCACAAGGGTAAAAAACAGTACTTGATGATGGTTTGCGTGGTTGGTTAACGGGATTTAGAGCCTATCGACTATATGAGGGTCATTAAGACTGTTACTTGTCCACCACCAGTCAAAAATGTTCTAATCCCTAACGTAGGAATTAAACTCTTTGCGTGTATACACTGCGAGACATACACCTCACGGTGTATATAACCTGTGACCGACATGAATCATTATCAAGGTATATGTTACTAGGTATAAAAAATTCTTACCGATGCATATCAGTGCAGTGTTGAGTTTAAATAGTATCCAACTACATGTAGGGTGGGACACAGTCTCTGCACCACATACACTATACGTTAGTACTTGGTAAATATATTTATACATTCACCAGAGAATTCACGATGCAGTGACTAACAAATTACGAAGATATGTCATCTCGTGGGCGTTACTGCGGATCTGCATGAAAGCATTCCTGAACCTTACCTACGGTCCACGAGAGCAGTTATTGCATAAATTAATTTTTATTTTGCTTATCCGACAAAACGGTCGTTGCTTTTTAAGCTAGGATTATTAGTTTGTCTTGTTCGGAGGTATACCATCTTTTAGGAGTGAAGAAGAGCAGAATGTAAGTGTAGTGGAGGTACGTGAGGCATTACGTAGAATGAAAGGGGGTAAAGCAGCTGGAACTGATGGGATCATGACAGAAATGTTAAAAGCAGGGGGGGATATAGTGTTGGAGTGGTTGGTACTTTTGTTTAATAAATGTATGAAAGAGGGGAAGGTACCTAGGGATTGGCGGAGAGCATGTATAGTCCCTTTATATAAAGGGAAAGGGGACAAAAGAGATTGTAAAAATTATAGAGGAATAAGTTTACTGAGTATACCAGGAAAAGTGTATGGTAGGGTTATAATTGAAAGAATTAGAGGTAAGACAGAACGTAGGATTGCGGATGAGCAGGGAGGCTTCAGAGTGGGTAGGGGATGTGTAGATGAAGTGTTTACATTGAAGCATATATGTGAACAGTATTTAGATAAAGGTAGGGAAGTTTTTATTGCATTTATGGATTTAGAAAAGGCATATGATAGAGTGGATAGAGGAGCAATGTGGCAGATGTTGCAGGTATATGGAATAGGTGGTAAGTTACTAAATGCTGTTAAGAGTTTTTATGAGGATAGTGAGGCTCAGGTTAGGGTGTGTAGAAGAGAGGGAGAAATACTTCCCGGTAAAAGTAGGTCTTAGACAGGGATGTGTAATGTCACCATGGTTGTTTAATATATTTATAGATGGGGTTGTAAAAGAAGTAAATGCTAGTGTGTTCGGGAGAGGGGTGGGGTTAAATTATGGGGAATCAAATTCAAAATGGAAATTGACACAGTTACTTTTTGCTGATGATACTGTGCTTATGGGAGATTCTAAAGAAAAATTGCAAAGGTTAGTGGATGAGTTTGAGAATGTGTGTAAAGGTAGAAAGTTGAAAGTGAACATAGAAAAGAGTAAGATGATGAGGGGTATCAAATGATTTAGATAAAGAAAAATTGGATATCAAATTGGGGAGGAGGAGTATGGAAGAAGTGAATGTTTTCAGATATTTGCGAGTAGACGTGTCGGCGGATGGATTTATGAAGGATGAGGTTAATCATAGAATTGATGAGGGAAAAAAGGTGAGTGGTGCGTTGAGGTATATGTGGAGGCAAAGAAGGGAATGTATGAAAGTATAGTAGTACCAACACTCTTATATGGATGTGAAGCTTGGGTGGTAAATGCAGCAGCGAGGAGACGGTTGGAGGCAGTGGAGATGTCCTGTCTAAGGGCAATGTGTGGTGTAAATATTATGCAGAAAATTCGGAATGTGGAAATTAGGAGAAGGTGTGGAATTAATAAAAGCATTAGTCAGAGGGCAGAAGAGGGGTTGTTGAGGTGGTTTGGTCATTTAGAGAGAATGGATCAAAGTAGAATGACATGGAAAGCATATAAATCTATAGGGGAAGGAAGGAGGGGTAGGGGTCGTCCTCGAAAGGGTTGGAAAGAGGGGGTAAAGGAGGTTTTGTGGGCGAGGGGCTTGGACTTCCAGCAAGCGTGCATGAGCGTGTTAGATAGGAGTGAATGGAGACGAATGATACTTGGGACCTGACGATCTGTTGGAGTGTGAGCAGGGTAATATTTAGTGAAGGGATTCAGGGAAACCGGTTATTTTCATATAGTCGGACTTGAGTCCTGGAAATGGGAAGTACAATGCCTGCACTTTAAAGGAGGGGTTTTGGGATATTGGCAGTTTGGAGGGATATGTTGTGTATCTTTATACGTATATGCTTCTAAACTGTTGTATTCTGAGCACCTCTGCAAAAACAGTGATAATGTGTGAGTGTGGTGAAAGTGTTGAATGATATGATGAAAGTATTTTCTTTTTGGGGATTTTCTTTCTTTTTTGGGTCACCCTGCCTCGGTGGGAGACGGCCGACTTGTTGAATATATATATATATAATATATTATATATATATATATATATAATTATATATATATATATATATATATATATATATATATATATATTATACACGCACGCACACACACACACACACACACACACACACACACACACACCACACACACCACACACACACACACACGGGAGGTCCAGTGGGACAGAGAATTGGCAGGAAAGCCAGTAAATGAAATGATGGAATATGTAACAACAAAATGCAAGGAGGCAGTGGAAAAGTTTATTCCCAAGGGCAACAGTAACAACGGGAAGACCAGAACGAGCCCCTGGTTTACCCGACGGTGTAAGGAGGCAAAAACAAAGTGCAATAGAGAATGGAAAAAGTACAGAAGGCAGAGAACACACGAAAATAGGGAGATCAGTCGCAGAGCCAGGAATGAGTATGCACAAGTAAGGAGGGAGGCCCAGCGACAGTATGAAAATGACATAGCATCGATAATCAAGACTGACCCGAAACTGTTGTATAGCCACATCAGGAGGAAGACAACAGTCAAAGACCAGGTGATCAGATTAAGGACAGAAAGTGGAGAACTCACAAGAAATGATCAGGAGGTATGTGAGGAGCTGAACAGGAGATTTAAGGAAGTTTTTACAGCTAGAGACAGGAAGGGCTGTGGGAAGACAGCACAGAAGGGAACATCAAGAGGGAATATACCAACAAGTGTTGGATGACATACGAACAACTGAGGAGGAGGTGAAGAAGCTCTTAAGTGACCTTGACACCTCAAAGGCGATGGGACCGGACAACATCTCCCCATGGGTCCTTAGAGAAGGAGCAGAGATGCTGTGCGTGCCTCTAACCACAATCTTCAACACATCCCTTGAAACTGGGCAAC